GCAAACCCAGAACTGGGTCAGGAGATTGAGACTTGGTGCTAAAACAAAGCATTGATAAAGTTATTAAACGTGGTTTTTCTCTTAATTCTATTTGACACACAGGCCAAAAAAGCTGACTCTAAAAGGTTATAAGCAGTATTGGTGCACCTTTAAAGACACGTCTATTTCTTGCTACAAGAGCAAAGAAGAATCCAGTGGCACACCAGCTCATCAGATGAACCTGAGAGGTAAAGGAAGCCTTGGAAAGGCTCTGTTGATGGTAGAATCTCTATCAGCCAATGTCGGTACATTTCACTTTGCTGGGGGTGAGGGGAGTTTTTCAGCAGTTTCTGCACTTCTTCGGGTATTTTTACATACAGATATAAAATGTTTTTTTACTATGGAACACTTCCCATTTACCCGTCATCTTTGCACCGGGGCCGTGCTGCTCTGTATCGTTCCAGTTTTAGTGTATGTGCTGCGCAGTGAGCACTGTATATACTTAGTTCTTGTCTTAGACTGCTTCTGTTGGGTCTTCACATTGTTCCTCTTCACCTGTCATCTGATTGATGCATTGGTTCAGGCGGTAGGAGAATTTCCTCTCCAGGTTTGCCTGCTGCTTCTGCTGGAGGACTTCTGCGTGCCTCTTGCTGTGACTTCTTTGTAGGGCCTTCAGCTAATCTTGCAGATTCTTGATGAGCCTCTCACTTGTGATATTATTCACTAAACCGCCTGGCTCACTTCCAGTTCAGATACCACTTCCTCTAGGAAGCTGCACCCCTGAGAACCACTCCAGATAAACCCATCATAAATTGAAAATACCCAAAGTTGAAAACTCATTTGATACACCTGATCTACTGAACATCATAGCTTAGTCTACCTTAAATGTACTCAGAATACAATATTCCCACCCAGATCTACCCCCCCAAAAGAAACACTGGCAACACAGTACACGGTAGAGTATCAGTTGTTTACCCTCGTGATCACGTGACCGGGCGCTGCAGCACTGCCCAGCATCATGACAGCATCATTCTGCATATCACTAGTCCAGGAAAAGACCAAAATTCCAAATTTGACATACAGTTTCTATTGAGTGCATTGTAAAGTCAAAAAAGTATTTAAGGTGAGCCACTGTAAGTCGTACACACTTGGCACCGCAAGCTCGGTAAAGGAAGGCTAGAAAACTGAAGTACATTTTCCAGACGCATTTCTAGGTTCTAAGCACGTGCATCATGTGAACCCCGAGTTCCCAGCTGACTGAAGGGTTGGAGAGGCAGAGCTGAGAAAGGAGTGGGGAGCTCCCAGGCCCTGGAGCTGAACTGCAGGGGCAGGCCCACCGTGTCAGCCCCCCCTCTCCTGTGGGGGTTCCATTTTACATGTACATTTATTATTATATGTAAAGCAATTTGGACAAAAGTACCAAAGAAAAAGGTCCCCTGACTCATTTCACAGAAATGAATCCCAGAATAATTTCACATATCACTAAAAATATAGAAGTGTTTTTTATTGATCTTTTTTCTTAATACATTGTACATTAGGGTATTTTTAGTATATTTCAACAAAATTTCCATCTCTCTCTCTCTACCCAGTAGTCGCCTGAACTGTTTTATAGTTACACACATTGTAAAAAAAAAAAAAAAAATAGAAAACCTCTGTCTCGGGGAGAAGATTGCTATGGCCAAGTGTTGGAATTCTGTGATTGTCTGAAACTTTTCATTGGTCTCATTGCCTTCCTCTCTGTCACATGAGTCTAACTGTGGGTCTCTACCAGTGTCTGTTACTCAGAATCCGTGTTGGCTTTCTTCTTGTTTACCTCCTCAGCTGCCCGGGATCAGCTCAGATGGTCCACTCCTGAGCAGGACTTAGATCTGGCCTCTGGCCTCTGGCCCTTCTGTCCCTATTAACCTTCTCCCTGAATGACCGAAAAGTCAAGTTCTAGTACGGAGAACAGTGCACAAGGTGTTCTCACCCCACCTCTCCCCAGGCCTCCCAGAGGAGTACTTGCCCAGCACATCACACTAGCCTAAGAATTGAATGGCCAAGATTCTGCCCTGCCCCTAAACAAGCCCTGTGGTTGTAGAAAAATAGTCTATTTGGAACTCAGTATCTTCCTTTGGGAAATGAATCTGTGGGACTAGATGCTCGTGGAGGGCATGCAGGAGGCGGCCCAGCAATGTTTCTCTCGCTCCTCCTCCTCCCTCTCTCTAAAATCAATAGAGAAAAAGAAAGAAAGAAATGCCTGGAGAAAAGCTGGAGTGCAGAGTTTAATCAGAAGGATGAAACTTCTTAACAGCTGTTCAATCTGGTTCCTGCTCACACGAGAGGAATAGCAGGAGTTGGCAAGAATTAGTGGATTCAAATGTTCAGGAGGTTGTTTTTTAAACTGGCAGCAATGACGCGCCACTGAAAAATTATTAACTTGAAAATGACAGGATCCATCATATTTATACTGGGTAGAGTTTAGTGCAATAATTTCAGATAGTGGTAGTGATCCGTGTTAAGATTCCCCATATGGATGGAGAAAGGGTACAAAGTCAGGAGATACTAAGGAAGTTCAGTCAGTAGACTGGGTGGTTGATTTGGGAGGGGCTAGAGCAGGGGTTCTCAACCTGTGGGTTGTGACCCCTTTGGGGGTTGAGCGACCCTTTCACAGGGGTCACCTAAGACATAACAGTAGCAAAATTAGTTATGAAGTAGCAACGAAAACAGTTTTATGGCTGGGGGTCACCACAACATGAGGACTGTATTCAAGGGTCGCGGCATCAGGACGGTTGCGAACCACTGGGCCAGGGGGAAGGGCCTGTTCCTGGCTGTGCAGTTCGGAGGTCAGGGTGTTCCTGACACTGGGAAGAGACGGGCTGAGTGTGGGGAGAAAGATGAGTGATTTTTGGATTTTTTTTCTTCATGAACAACTTGAAAGAAATTTAATTCATCATCATTTCATGTTACTTCTCAAAATTTAAATCACCAAACATTTGCAATTAAAAAGGCAACATGAAAAGAATCAAAACTTGTAATATTAGATGAGATTTTTTTTTTTAGAAGATGTGCAAATATCCCCCCTTTCCCAGTTGCATTGCCTGATATTGTTCCCAAAGGTGGAGCAGGATGAATTCTCAATTGTTCCTATATATTTTTACTTAGTGAGTCTTAGGCAGAGTGAAGAGTCATTCTAGCTAAAATATGCAAACACTTGGCCTGGCTGGTGTGGCTCAGTAGTTGAGTGTCGACCCATGCACCAGGAGGTTGCCAGTTCGATTCCCAGTGAGGGCACATGCCCAGGTTGTGGGCCAAATCCCCAGTGGGGCATGTAGGAGGCTGCCAGTCAACATTCTCTCTCATCAATGTTTCTATCTCTCTCTCCCTCTCCCTCCCTCTCTCTCTAAAAAAAAAAAAAAAAAAAAAAAATCAATAAAGAAAAATAAAAATAAATAAAATACACAGACACTTGAAAAACCTGGTCAACATCCACTGAGAGCTGAGCAAGTTAACTGTTTTGAGTCCTTTCATCATCATATCCAGCTATGACCACACCATGGAATTCTTACTACCTCTTACCAAAAGCTCCTGTGTTCAAATTTGAGGTACATGCCCTGGCTGGTGTGGCTCAGGTGATTGCTGTTTCTCTCTCTCTCTAAAAATCAATGAAAATGTCCTCAGGCAAGGATTAAACATAAATAAATTTGAGGTATTTGTGGGATACCTTTTTGAAGATAACCTGTAGGCCATTGGATCATGAGAGATCCATGCTACAGATGGAGGTATGTTAGCAGTTAGCATCGGTGGTAAGTGTAGCTATTGGAATAGTTGTCATGGCTAAGAACAGAACCCTGCAGAAGACTCGCGTTTAAGGGACAGCACATTAGAGGAAGAAAAGCTTATAAAGGAAACCAAAAAAAAAGCATAAGAAGATTATGGAAATAATGTACGATGGAAACTAAAATAAAAATTGTTTCAAAACAAGGAAGTGTAACTCGGCATCAAATGCTACAGAGAAGTAAAATAGAGATTGTTAGCCTCTATAGGACTTAGCCACATGGAGGTGGTCAGTGGCCTTGATTAAGAACAGATTTAACAGATTTCAGTGGCATTTTGAGTATGAGTCAAAGTACTGTCATTGAGAAGTAAATAGGAAACAAAGCTTTTTAGAAAATTGATTTTAGAGAGAGGAAGGGGGAGAGAGAGAAACATCATTGTGAGAGAGACACATCGGCTGGTTGCCACTCATGATCCCAACCGTGGCCGGGGACAAACTGCAGCTGAGGTACGTGCCCTTAACGGGAACCGAACCCGGGACTCTCTGGTCTGCAGGCTGACACGCTTTTTTTTTTTTTTTTATCCTCATCCGAGGATATTTTTCCATTTTTTTTGTACAGATAGAGTGGGAGGGAGAGAGAGGAAGGGAGAGAGAGAGAGAAACATCGACGTGAAGGGACACACCGAGTGGCTGCCACCCGCACGACCAACCAGGGCCGGGGACAAACTGCAACCGAAGTACGTGCCCTTAGCGGGAACCGAACCCGGGTCTCTCCAGACCGCAGGCCGACGCTCTAACCGCTGAGCCAAACTGGCCAGGGCGAGGCTGACGCTCTTAACCACTGAGCCAAACAGGCCAGGGCTAAAGACAGCTTTTTAAAAACAAATTTTTTTTTATTGATTTTATTTTATTTTTAAAGTTAATAAACTTTTATTTAAGGAATTTCACATGTTCTGAGCCCTTCCACACACTGCCTTTGTTTCTCCTGAATTTGATTCTTAATCCCCTTTTTTTTTTGTTGTTCAATCCAGTTGTCATTTCAGTCACTCCCATATAACAGGAATAGAGATGGTCATGTGATCACAAACTGGTCACTAGCAACCTGGAAGGATTAGCTAGACAGAGGACATCTGCAAGACTCAGAGATCTAAGGAGGCTGTGTAAAATCTCAGTGATTACCAATGGCTATTACAAAATCACACATAGCTTGTGTTATAATTATATTGGACGGTGCTAAACTAGACAATTAAAATAAAGGTTAAGAAAATGTTCCCAGTAGACTGAATGCTACCAATGTAGCAGAAAGAAAACCTAATGGGAAATATTTTGTGGTCATGTCCACAGCAAATCTTTACTGAGTTTAGAGAGGGAGCGAGATGGAGACATCAATGAGAGAGAACATCGATGGGCCGCCTCCTACACGGCCCACCCCTGGGGATCAGGCCCACAACCCGGGCATGTGCTGTGACTGGGAATCTTAACTGGCGACCTCTTGGTGCGTGGGTCGATGCTCAACCACTGAGCCACACCCGCTGGGCCAAAGACAGCTTTTTAATGAACCTTATCTAGGAAGGGAGGAGGAAAGGGGGCAGCAGCAAAAGACAGAGAGATAAAGAGGAGAGTCATTTTGTGGTTTAAGGTGGGAGAGAGTTAAGAAAGTTAAATGCTGATGGAAATGTCACAGTAGAAAGAAAGAAACCTGGTACCTGGGGAGGGAGAGGATCTCAGATGGAGCAAGGTTCCTGGGAGGGTGGACAACTCCACCCAGTTGGATAGGAAGGCCTTAGGAGGGACACCTCTCTGCTGTTTGGAAGCAAGGACAGTGGGTTTATCTGGTATGGTGGCAGGGAGCGGGGGCCTTCACTTCTGGTACTGGAAAATAAGTGAGGTTGTCCCCTGAGAGTAAGTGGCGTAGGAGGCCTGAAAAGATTTGAAATCATCATTTTTGAGCGTGTCTGTAAACATAAGATTGCAAGTGTCGAGGGCCAGATGGAGGCTGGGATCCATGAATTTCTAGTGACACCTATCTGCTCAGTTTTGTGGTGTTTTCCCCTCCCCTCTTACAGGACTCAGCAGCCTGAGTAGAGGCAGTGAGAGATGGAGGGCTGATTTGAACCAGGGTTAAGGTTTTGCTGAGTGTGTCTGATGGGAAGACAGTAAGTCTAGGGAACTAGGGGTGGTGATACCTGGTGAATGGCATCCAGCTGGACTGGGGAGAAGCAAAGAGTGAAAACACATTGCTGACGGGGAGGGGCTCGGGTCCCTCAAAGAGTAGGAAGAGAGTTAGAATTGAAGACTGTAAGCCGAATGGGCTGTTTGCACGTGGCAGTTGAGAGGAGCAGTCGGATCACAGTGGAGTGCATCCAGCCCGTCGCCAGGGAGCGAATGTTGTCTGAGGTGTGGCCCAGAAGTGCCTGTGCGCCTGCTCTACTTGCCTTACCGTTCACTTCTCTCTCCCTTTCAGATGGTCTTGGTGGTTTACTTTTAAAAGAGGACTAATTGTATACTTTAAATCCACTTGAATAATTAATGGAATTTTGCAAAAGATTGTGTTTTTTCAAACACCTCTCTGTTGTATTTAACACATTGCCTCACAGCTTACTATAGTCTCTAATGCTTCTATAGGAGTAGTTAAATGCTGTAGTTATTTATACGTAGTACGTATTTAAGGAAAAAAATAGAGGGGAGAAAGTCCTCCAAATGTTGGGAGTTGCTTCTGGAGAGGAGTGGAGGATCCCCTTTATCTAAAATGTTTCTGTGTGGAGGGGAAAAGACGGTTTAAATACTTGTTCTTTTTGTGGTAGATATGTAGGGTTATTATTCTGTTCTTTATAATCTGCCAAGAGAAGTTGCTCCCGTGCAGAGAGCAGGCAGCGGCGGCCCTGCTAACCGTTCACACTCATCGTAGAGCTACTGGGTGCGCTTAAGACACGGAGGGTGACATGATCCAAGTACGAACAGTTGGAATACCCTTTAGTGAGCTTTGATGTGTACATAGCTTATTTATCCTTACAGCATCCCTATGAGATAAAGTTTAAGGTCAGGAAATTTGGGCTTAGAGATATAAATTGGCCATAACTATTAAATGGTACAGAAAGGTCTGGAACCCAAATCTGTCTGATTGCAAAGCTCTTCTCCACTGTTACACTGGTTACTGCCTATGTATGCCAGCCATTTCCCCATTATCTAACTGGTTATGGGTTCAATAGATCTGTGTTTTCTTATGGAAAGCTACCAGCTAATGCTTCACAGAGTTGATTAAGGGCTAGGGGCTCCCATATAGGACTCGAGCTCAAACTGGCTAATCCCCCTCACGTATTTTTAAAGGCGTAATAAATTCATTTATTGCCAGGGGTGGGGAACGACTGGCCTGAGGGCCACATAAGGCCCTCGAAATCAATACCAGCCAGCATCACAGCCTCACCAAATTAGCCTGACCAAATACAGCAGGCTAATTTTTAAGTTAATGATTTTGTATGGCCCTTCAATGATGTCATAACTGTCCAAATGACCCTTGGCAGAAAAAAGTTTCCCCACCCCTGAAACACAGTTAAGTCAGAATTTAATTATAGAAAGCCATTTTTAAATCCCTGAACATTTAGATACTTAAAAACCCCAAATAACCTAAGATTCAAAGAACTGAATAATATTAAAACAACATACATCAAAACTTGTTGGAGTGCAAGGTGTGTTGTTTGGTCCTATCTTTTCATCAGGACCTCTGTGCCATCACCTCCACTCTATATTAGGTCTCTCTAGCTCTGCTCCACTCCAAACAAAATCACTGCGCATAAAGAATTTATTCCCTGATCTATAGATTTCATAACAGCAAAATTCTACATACTAAGATGCCATAAAAAGAGGGATCCCTGTATTGGCTTGGGATTTTTAAAAGTAAATTTGACCAGCCCTCAGACCAAAGGTTCTCGGGTTCAGTTCCTGGTCAAGGGTTGCAGGTTCGATCCCTGGCCCTGGTCAGGGTTGTGCAGAAAGCATCCAATCAGTGTGTCTCTCTGACATCGATGTTTCTCTCCACCCCACCCTCTTTCATTCTATCTAAAAAACAATTGAAAAATATCCCTGGGTGGGGATTTTTTTTTTAAAGTAAATCTGACTGTTTTAATAATTAGTTTTTCTTTTTATTACAGGATGTGAAGTCACCCCAGATGTAAACATTTCTGGCCAGAAATTTAACATTAAGCTCCTGATTCCAGTTGCCGAGGGCATGAATGAAATATGGCTTCGTTGTGACAATGTAAGATTCCAGTTCCTTAGTGAGTTAACCAGTCATCCTCATGTTTTATGCTCAGAAGATCCCTCGTGACCCAGGTCATATCTCAGTGTTCCTTTTCAACAGGAAAAGCAGTATGCCCACTGGATGGCAGCCTGCAGATTGGCCTCCAAGGGCAAGACCATGGCAGACAGTTCTTACAACCTAGAAGTTCAGAATATTCTTTCCTTTCTGAAGATGCAGCATTTAAACCCAGACCCTCAATTGATACCAGAGCAGATCACAACGGATATCAATCCGGAGTGTTTGGTGTCCCCGCGCTATCTAAAAAAGTACAAGAACAAGCAGGTACTTGGTTCATTTTACTTCATCCACTCTTCTCTGCTGGTGTATTTTCCAGTTTTGTACACATACTTTAAATGTAGTTCCCCTTTTAAAACTTTTTAGTCTTAGTTGGTAGACTTAATGTCATATCAGGTGACTAGAATATAAAATCAGAAATAAATAGCCTTCCATTTAAATTGGTAATTTTAAAAATACCTTTATCATTTCAATAGGCTAGATAACAAGGTAGAATAATTAGGAATATATTTATTCTAAATTTGAGGAAACCACTCTGTTAACAGGATATTCATTCAGCAAATTAAATATGGTCTTAATGCTTTGTGTCCTTAATTCATGCAGTTTTTCATTTCCCTTCACAATCTGTTTTGACTCCTCTTGCTGTTGAAATGGGCTTTTTTCAGCTTTAGAAATAAATTTTATAAGGTAGACAGACATAGTCTACATTTAAACATCATCTTTTCTTAACATTAACAGTCAAAACCTAATCAAGATTTGCATAATGTGACAAAATTTGGTAAAATTTCCTTGACATTCACTGTTTTTGTTCATTCTTTAGAATTCCTCTCCTGGAAATTAATATATTAAAAAAAGGATTGCTATTTAGGAAAATGGTTCTTCAGTATAACATAAAGGTTTTTTGCAGGGGAATTTCACTTTGGGATAACCCCAGTGTTCTCTACACAAACATCTTGCTATAAAAGGAAAAGCTTTAGTTTGGAGGATGGGAGTGGGAGGTGAAGAAGACTTCTAAAATAAATATTTTATTTTTATCTAGTTTCATTTTGATCTTCAAGGAATAATTTTAAAACATTACTGTAAAGTTTGAATGATATACCTAGAACACTTAGTAACTCTTAACTTTTAAATATAATGCTTATCATAGGAGTGACATCACTTAAATAGAAACTTAAAATGTTCAGAAGTTTTAATCTCCAAGTATTTGTCTTTAAGTGACTGAGGCTGTGTAAGCTACATGGACATTGTTTATCCCACAGTCGTGCTCTATGTGGGAGTAGTAAGGAATGGAGGATATGCTGCCCTGGGGAGCTTGGTGGAATGTAGATTGTCAATTTAAAAGGCAGAGTGAATCAAATACTAATTTTTTTATTTTTATTCTTAGTAATTTCATTTAAAAATTATTGGAAAAGAAACTTGTTTCAGAAAGTGGATTCGTTTGCCTCAAAGGCAATGAATAAATTCAAATCTTAGCAATCTTATTTTCACTATTAACTGTCAGGGGGAAAAACAATCATAAAGTATAATTGTCAAAACGGCCAAATGTTGGTTTAGCTGTCAAAGAAAGGTATTGTTTTCACTTTGAAAAGTTTTTGACTAGATTGTCAACTGAACATTCTGTTGAGGAAAAGACAATGCATGTTTGACTGTCCTTAACGGGCAGGATGTGTGTGGTCCCCGGTTAAGGATCCTTGTCTTCTACATTGGCATCTTGTCAGATGCACATTCTTTTTTTTTTTTTTTTCTTTATTGATTTGAGAGAGGTAGGATGGGAGAGGGAGAGAGAGATAGAAACATCGATGAGAGAGAACATCGATTAGCTACCTCCTACATAACCCCCCACTGGGGATCGGGCCCACAACCTGGGCCTGTGCCCTGACTGGGAATTGAACCGGCGACCTCTTGGTGCATGGGTCGACGCTCAACCACTGAGCCACACCGGCCAAACACACATTCTTTTATAATCCTGCTTTTCCTAATAAGATTTACAGGTTGTTCCCAGAAGGTACAAGCCATGTATTGCCCTGACACCTAGTAAGTGCTGATAGGCAGGAGTTTATTATTATGGCACGTTAGG